ATGCGGTAGCTATTGGTGCGTTTGGGCGTCACATGTAACTGGAAATGTTTCTTCTGTTAGGTTCTATAGTGACTTTTTTCGTAGTCATTTGCATATTTTAGTATTATGCCCCCAAAATCAAATATCCCCTACTTTTTTGGAATAGTATATATTCCATTTCATCCCAGCCACTGCTGAGAGCAAGTTAAAATTTCCTTTTCCCGTAGACAAGTCCATATGCCGAGAATAAACGTTCAGATTATGCTGAAGTCGCACGTGCAGCTAACTTGTTGTGGTGTTACCCCAGTTGCACTGAATTGTTTGCCAAAACGATCACACCTAACCTTACCATTATCGCACTTTGTAATAAGTATTTCCAAATCCAGGATTCCGGTGGCATTTTGACAGAAAAACGTTTAAAAACAAATTGAATTTGGTGCCTTCGGCCTTGACCCTTTATTCCGAGTAGGAGACTGGACACCAAATTATTTTGAGCGGAGATCACGCGAAACCAGAAATCCAAGATGGTGTCCAAAAATGGCGAGAAAAAATATGAAAACTCGATTTTCTCACTATTAAGGCATGTAGCCTAAGGTGTCGTTTTATGTTTTCGAGACTGCTGAGCACGAATTTGAGATAACCAAGATGGCGTCCAAAACTTACGGGAAAAATACAGAAATTCGAGAAAAAAAATTCAGTAGCGACCTAGATACCCAAGATGGCGGCCAAAAATGGCGGGAATAATATAAAAATTCGATTTAATAAATTTCTATGTACTAATAACATCATAGTGCCAAATTGGCTTCTCAAAGAATTGTCGAACTTCAGGTTGTCATTTTGAAAACTCTGACAGACAAATACTGTACATCAAAGGAGGGTAAACTGTTTGCGTTCTTTATTGACTTCAGAAAAGTATTTGAAACGGTAATGTTGGACTTTATAGAAAAAAAACTTCTTCAAATTGTAGATGGTTCAAATTTTTACATTTTGATTAAAAAATATGTAGCTTATCAGAAAAGTAAGGCGATAATTAACCAGATTGCTTCTTCAAATGCCCTGAACTAGTCACTAATGGACCATTGATTACTTTATGCTGATGATGTGGCAGTGAAAGTGGATTACAACCAAAACTTGATAAATTAGACGACTGTTATAAAGACTGGTGTCTTTCAGTAAATATTGATAAATCCAAAAATCTTATGTTTACTTAACAAGACTTTGTATTTCAAGGTATCACAGTTCACAATATATATTATCTTATCGCTATCTTGGTGTAATATTTTCTGCACCAGGTTCATTTTCACTAACCAAGGCTTTAAAACATGTTTTAAACTGTGTAAAGATGCATTATCTATAAATCCTCAGATTAAAACAAGTTTTTATATATTTGATCATACTATTAAACCCATAATATTGTATGGCAGTGAAATATGGGGAGCTTTTAATACACTTAGTCCTAAGTTCAAAAAAGGCTTCTCTTTAGAAAAGATATAACATGCTATAGAACCTGATAAGCTACATGTTAAATTTTGTAAATGTCTTTTAGCGGTACACAAAAAGAGTTTAAATTTTGCAGTTCTGGTCGAATTAGGTCGATCCCCATTGTATTTAGAAATTGTAAAGTCTCTTCTGTGTTTTTGGCATCACTCTGAGAGCTCATCTCCAGATTCATTATTAGCTCATGCTCTCGCAACTCGCAAAAAACTTCCCAAAGTTGGACAGTCATGGTTTTGCACTGTCACTGAATTATGTCAACTCTTGATTTTGCCTTTAATAAACACTTCATGTTATAAATTTTCGATATTTAAGACCAATTTGAAAAAGTTGCTGGTCAAATGTCATATAGAAACTTAATTGGCTTAAGCAAAGGGAATCATTGAATACTGGGAAACTAGATTTATATGCCCAACTTAAAACTAACTTTGGATATCAAAATTATCTATCCTTGAAGAAATGTGAATTCAGAAAGGATATCCCAATCTCAAAATATCCCTACATAGGCTCAAAATAGAAACTGGCAGGTATATAAGAGTAAATCACGCCTCTGTGAAAAATGCCTGTCGGGGAAAGTTGAGAACGAATTGCATTTTTTAATTGCTTGTACACATCTGGCTACAGACAGGAAATATTTATTTGAGGTTACTGAAAAATCCAATACTAACTTTATTAACTTGTGAAAATCTAGACATATTAAATGAACTTGGTCGCTTTTGCACAAGAACTTGCCATACAATTATTTTCTGTATCTTGGTTAAGCACCATACTGTGAATAATATATAGGCTTACATTATTTCTGACTTAATATTGAAGGTTAGGGCCTACTTATTTAAGTTGCTGTATTGGTCTGTAACATAGGCTACAGAGTTAAGTGGATTTGCCCCCCTTTCCATTAATAATGTACTCATGGCATGAGCCGTTTTTATCGGCATGAAGCCTTATTTAGTGCATAGGCCTACTATATTTATATTTAAAATACAAATGTGACGTCATCCTTTGATGTTGGCGTACAATTATTTCCAATAATGTACGGGCAACTTGCCAATTGTACATTATCTATACTAGACTCGCGTGACGTATATCATTGAAAAGCGCACGCGGGATAGTGTCTGTATTTTAAGTTGTTTAATGGTCTCGATCGAGCTAAAGACATTACGTAATATATTGAAACAACACTCGGCTAAGGCCTTCTGTAGTTTCAATATATTAATATTACTTAATGTCTCGCTCTCGACCATTAAACCATACACAGTCATGCTATTTTGTATATTTTTATTATTTGACTGTCATTTGGGTTGATCTATAGGCCTACCATATCCCCCGTGGACGTACCATATGCCGTCCTTGTCAGACCCTCAGTCCTGCACCACTGATAAGGACAGCTGTCTAGTCTCTTGGATGTCGGCTGTCCTGCACCAGAGTGACAATGAGAAACCATGCCAGAAAATCCCGATGAAATTTATACTCGACCAACACAGGGATCGAACCCGCGACACCAGATTATGGCGAGCTAGCATCTTACTCACTTGACTTATCAACCGTACGCGTATATATACTATTACTAAGCGTCATGGAAAACGCATCACTTTTTTTTCCCCAAATATTTTATTACTAGGTGGTTTGTATGTATAATATTATGCAATACTATGAACTATTGTTTGACACAATGCTCCCAAACTCAAAAAATATCGGCCCGTGTGCACAAAAAAAAAATTGCACGAGATACACATGAAAACCCCAATATTCACGTGCAGCATTGTGTGTGAGCCCTTTAAAAGCATGTTTTCAACTTAATGTGCAGTAAATGAACTGTGAAACGTCAATCTGGCGTAATTTATTGTTGGACGTGTGAAGGAATCGAGCTAGAGATGCCGAGAGTTACTGAAAATCAATGGAATGAAGCCATGGGAATGTCCAGGGCTGGGATGTCTACACGTGCTATTGTCAGACACTTCAATTGTCATCAGTCCACAATTGTAAGGTTGGTGGAACGTGTTCGAGTTACTGGATCAACACGTGACTGTCAACGTCCTGGTCCACAACGCGTTACCACAGAGGCGTTACAAATCAGGCTCAAGACCGCTACATCCGGGTCACTCATCTGCGTGACAGATTCCGCCCAGCGACTGGAACAGGTGCAGCAGTCATCGGAAGACAGGGACCAGTAAGTGCCAACACCGTAAGACGTCGTCTAAGAGAAGTAGGACTCCGTGCATAACGACCTTATATTGATATGGGCTCAAGGACACCAGACATGGAGAAGAGTAGACTGGCAAATAAGTGTGCTCTTCAGTGATGAGAGTCACTTTCATCTTTATCACGCTGATGGCCGTCAACGTGTGTGGAGACGTCTTGGGGAACGTCTTGGCAGACTGCTGCGTCTTCGAAACGAATCGATGGGGTGGGGGAAGTGTAATGGTGTGGGGCGAAGCTTCACATTTCATCACCGGACCGCCCTACACATTTGCAGGGGGCGCGTTAATTAATGCTGTAGCCTACCGTGATGATGGCCCGTGGAGGACACGCGCTACTGACATCTGTGTCGTACTTTTGGTTTTGACCCCTCTGACTTTGTACCCTTGATTACAGATTAAACATCCATAAGTGTACAATTGTGTTGTTATTGATGTGTCCCCATTTGAATATTGTTCACAATAAATAGCAAAATAAATGAGATATGTTTACAGGATCATTTTGTTATACGAAAAACTAAGTGATGCGTTTTCCATGGCGCTCAGTATAGTTGCTCCTATAATAGCCTATAATTATAAAGTGAAGGGGTGACCAATCGTGTTTCTAAAAATAGAACTGAGACCTTTCCAAGAAAAAGTCCTGTTATCTTAGAATCTACTATTACTATATGTCTTTAAAGCTTAAATGCGACAGCCCCTGTTTGTTTTGTATTCACAACCTAAACAAGTCGGCGCTGAAAGTCTCTACAAGAAGTAACATCGACTCATCGAGGTAAGTATTGTATAGGTATTATATATCTGGCTGGCTCAAATGCTGGCCGGATGTGATAATTACTCTCACTTAGTAAATTACACAGTTTACTATCAGATTCAGAATGCTACTTCCAGTTTGTGTAACTTCAAATAACGTGATTGAGAAATTATTGACGTTGCCACATTACTCCATTTGTGATAGAAAGCGTTCAACCTAGCGAAGTTATGGGGGGAAAGTCAGAGCCGGGCAAAGAGACCAGAGTTATTGTAAAGGTCGATGGGAATATCCCTGACCATGATTAAACCAAATAACCAATGACGCCTTCTAGTCTATTTATAGCTCGATAGGTTTTTTTATATATTATAATAGAACTTGGATCATACTATAAAATCTACCAATTGTTTTCCGTTTAGTACGTACGTAGTCCACGAGTAAATGCACAATAAATTGGTTAGTTTTAGGCATAGGCCTAATCCCTAAATAATTATATTAACATTAAGTTGATATTATCTTGGAAGTTGGATATTTTATATTTGTTCATTTTTCTTTACTTTGGTCCTAGTCTAAATCGTGTACGTTACAAATACAAGTTTCCAGATCCAGGTCGACAGTTGAAGCTGAAAACAAGTTGACAACTTTCCATTTCTTTCATTTACAACGCCTCTCGCGATTTAGTCTGTAGATGATATTGATAAAAACTTGAAGTGATTTATGAAATTGTGTTCTTTGGTGGAATAAACATATTTTAATTGGTTAATCTCCACTTTACGGTCAGACAGGTACGTACGCAAACGTAAGTAGAAATGGTTCCACCTGACTTCCGTCTTTGACTCAATTCTAAACAGAGAGAGAAATGGGGTTTACCGTCCACTCGCCACAAAGCAGGTCATTTCGGGACTAACATATGGTTTAATTATTTTATTTCAATAATGCGCTTCCGCGTAGGGGTCTTCAGCAGTGGGAGGAAACCGGAGGACCCGGAGAAAACCCACTAGGGTGGACAGGCAACCCTACTCCTTGTCACCATAGAAGTTCTATGTTGTCACTTACAACCAGGGAATCAAAACCACGCCAGTTGACTCAATGACAGGCCTTATGATACAGTGCGCACATGCTAACCATTCGGCCATCCACCCCCCCTCTAATTCTAAAGCATTGTACACCATGATACAATCAATCCATACAACCATTGGCTTGCCATATTATTATGTCTAATTAAAGGGGCATTATGTAAGATTGAGGTAAAAAGTTGACCTCTCTCGCTATGAATACTATGATAGTTAAAAAATAGATCATGAAAAAAGAATATGTTGAAAAGTGCCTCACTCTCACTCTGAACCGAGATATTAGAGATTCACTTTTCTTTTAGCCTGGTCTTGATCGTGATTACTAACCTTGGTAGGATAATAAATAAAATCTTGATTATCAATTTTTATGTATTCAAATCCACTAAATATCTCAGGCTAACGTTGGCATTGAGAGTTCATTAGGCCTATGGTTGGGTAAGTTAATTAATGTCCAATCAATCAATAGCTTAAATAGCATTTCAGACTTAAAGAAAGACCTGCAATAGGCAGATTTAGCTCTTGCATAATGTATGTTTAATAATTTATATAATATTTTAAAAGCCCAAAAGAAAATTTTGCAATAGGCAGATAATTTAGCTGTTACATAATGTGTGTTTAATGGTCAATACTTTGATGTTTTTGATAAAAAAATAATTTAATTCAAACCATGTTATTATACGTGTTGAAAATTTTGTTTGAGCAAAGCATCAATGTTCCAATGTTTCGAACACTGCTCCCATGAAGTTTTAATTCCTTTTATATGACAGGCCTACAGAGTTTGATCAATTGATATTCTAATATTGTTTTCATTTTCAAAGATATTACAAATTATCAAATGATATATAAACTATAATGCACTGGGGTACATTTTGGTACGCCCCACTTGATATGTGGTTCTATTGTCTTACACCTATTCTAAGTGTCCGCTAATGTGTTCGGAACAGTTGCCTAGCCTATGAAATTTATTTATTTCTGTTGTATTGCCATCAAGTGCAAATATTAATTATGTGACGACTTGTGTTGTTTCAATATATTACTTAATGTCTTACTCTCAACCATTAAACCACACATAATGGTTATTTATTCAGTTTCTTATTGCCTCATAGCGTTATTTTAGGACAATAGGAATCCCTTGCAAACTACAAACTACAATATTGTAAAAGATAAATCTCTAATAGTAGTAATAGGAATATTTTTTTTTTGATTTGATGTGACTCAACTCTTCAGGTACAAATTAGATTGTATGCAAAAACAGATCTGTTAACTTCCATTATGTAAGGGATTCAAATATCTGTAGTACCTTTTGACTTTGAGTTTACGTGAAACCAATAAGACCTGAGATGACCATGCAGCCCTTATAGTATATATTTAATTGACGCGTATACTATCTCCCTGACAATGTCTGTCTACTACATCATTAACACTGTTCATCATGTGCATTTTGCATACCGATAGTTCATTGGCCAATCACGCTATTTTACCGAGATTTCGCCTAATAGTTTGGATGCAGCTATGGCGGGTGGGGCGCCAGGCAGGGTAAGCTTACTCTTCCGGACACCTGTTACCACTGTTTGTCGTGTATTTTGTACACGGTGCACAGTCCATATGCTGATTACACTATTTTGCCTTATTACAGTATTTTGCCTATACCGTTTTTTTAGGACTTCGAATTTTGTCTAATGGTTTGGATTGTTCGTACTTGGTTTTATTTTATTATATACTGTGATGATGATTAATTTGTTAATATTTGTGTATTATTTAAAAGATGGGTTCCCGCGTACAAACTGGGTGATTTAATGGTATATATGGACTAAAAACATATTTAAACTAATTAATTTGTCATAACTTTGCTTCAAATCCTTCTCAAACATTGTAATTGTGAAGGAATGTCCTGCTATAAAAATTTGATCAAACCAGGTAATGTGTACGTCACATGACTTACCTCTCTTGGAAGTCAGAGGAGAATTCATTGCATACATAAGACGATGTTATCTTTAATCGCTTACTATTTATTACCAATATCGAATCCTAATTAAATTCTCGGGTTATCCACTACCCGCGTCTTTTTCCGTCATTTGTATCTCAGAAAGTGTTGTACATCTAACTCTTTATAAAGTTTATCAACTTGTACATCATGTGCTCAATGTTCGCGTGTGACCTTTGACATCACGCGTGCAGAAATTCCTAATTGTCAGGCTGTTGATTAGGGGAACCCTTACATTTTTATCCTGTATACGCTCCATGAGTGTTTTTCGGGGAATCCAGTATTTTTCTAGTAAGATTGGATATCTCTACTTTCTATATATACCAAAATTACCATACTTTTATTGGAAATAACCACCCGATAAATACTTTTCTGGGAACCCATCTTTAAGTCTAACTAAAAGTTAGATGACCTAATTATACTTGATGAAATATATCTTTAAACCTGTTTACCTTTTATTTCATGCAGATTTTGAATTACAAGCACGATGATGTCTGAGAGAGATAAGAGACTGTTACAGGTCAACCGTGAAAATCTTCTTAAAAACATTTTTGATGTGGACAGTGTTGCATCTCACTTACTTGCTGACGAAGTCATTACAGATTCTATGCATGACGAAATAGTGGTAATATATTTTGGTTGTCCATGTTCATGTGTCCTCACATTGAACACATACCCTGACATCTTGCCCTGTTAAAGGACAATATTGGTGTCAGTCATTATTACATATGTGATAACTGGTTAAACACATTTCAATTATGACTTTAACACAGAGATCATTGCTATGGTAGATGTGTAACAAACACTTGAGGAAACGGTAAGTGACGACAAAAATGATAATAACAATTTTTCTTTTTTTTGAATTGTCAGATATCCTCTCACGGTCTCTTATAACAACTTTTCGTCTTCAACGGAATTATCAGTGAAATGAAATTCGACCATGTATCTGTTATTGTTCATTACTTCTGTCAGTTTGTCATTTTTGTCATCACTTCCTGTTTCTTCAAGTGTTTGTTACAGATCTACCATAGCAATGATCTCTTTAATTTACATATATTATAAATTGATTTAAATTTGTGTTTTAACAGAGCCATAGGACCAAAGCTAGTAAAATTCGTGAATTGTTGACAATTATACCACGACGAGGTGAAGATGCTTTCAACCAGTTTTATGAAGCTCTAGTAAAAACAGATGAAGGAGCAGCAGCTGATTTACTCAAGCCTGAATTAAAGGAAATGAGAAAAAAAGGGAAAATTCCTCTCGCAAGTCATACAGTTGTAGATGAAGAACATGATGGCCTTCCAACAGGTAAAACATCTTAAAACAGAGTTTTGGTGTCCATATGGTCTAAAGTGTATGCTACAGTTTCCTCCCACTACTAAAGACCAATAAATACAAGCGAATTATTAAAATTAAATTGAGCTATATGTTAGTCCAGAAATGACATAGATTGTGTAAAGTGGATGTTGAACCCAGTTTCTCTCTTTCTCTTTATCACAGATAAATGAAATCTGATTAAAACACAGATCCTATTTTGTTTCGCTTTTTTTTATAGTTCAAAATTTTGTTTTACTTGTCTTTACTACATTAGGATCTTGAAGAGTTGTTATATAAACCATGTTCTAGTTGAGTTAAAGGATTAGCCAATGAAACGGTCTTTTAATCAAATTTCTTATCATACTCTGATGTCATAGGATCAAAAGTTGCTTGCATGACCTCTGATGCGACCTCCCACTACAACTGGTCAGATCTTTGTAGTGAAAAACCTGGAAGCCATCGAAAGTATAACAAAAAAAATATAGATCTGTATTTTAATCAGATTGGTTTAACATCATATTGTTCTGCAAAATCAGACTAATGAAGTCATGACAGCAGCGCTTCCACCTACTCTTTTAATTAAGGGCACACCAACACATGCATTGGTGGATCTTGTTTTTATACGCCCACATTGAAATGTGGTTGTATATTGTCGTCGCCCTCGTCCATCCCGCGTCCACAATTGCTTGTGGACGCTCTGGAGGCTAAAGTTAATATCTGATTGACTTCAAATTTATACATGAGACGACGAAGACTATTGATTTTCAGTGATTTCCGATAATTACTGCCAGAGTTATGGCCCTTGATCACTTTGAAAAATCTTGTGGACGCTCTAGAGGTCAAAGTCAATATCTGATTGACTTTAAATTTATACACAGTGTTTAAGGTCATGGGACGAAGACGCCTGATGATTTTCAGTGATTTTCGATAACCTTGTGAACACCCTAAGATCGTATTATGGACATTATTTACAGATTGTACCCCGACCACAACCTGTTTTATGATTTTCTAGGGGCTTTTCCGGAATGTAGTGAGAATTAGTTTAGTGTCCGGGGCTTATCTCTGATATTTGCAGTGGTCTTGATTCTTGAATAATACCCAATGTTTGTCTCTCTATAATGTCAATTACCACAAACAAGCATTCAATTCTTCTTTTAGATTGGCCTGATGAGTCAGAAGATTTCAAAGGTAACATCGTTGTAAAAAAAACTGAAGATGGTACTTCAATGCATAAAAAGTTTAAAATGATATTAGTTCAACCAATTAACAATTCATTACCAGTAAGTATTATAAAGATATAATATCTTATCCCATCACAAATATACATCAATTTTATGGTGGAATTGTTCATTTGGTCGAAAGGATTAACCCTATAGAATTTCAAGATATGAAAAAGTCATCATCCTATTTATGTTTGAACCTATTAAATATTGTGAAGAGAAAACAGTACAAAGTTTTCTTATCTGTATTCGAGTGCAAGGAAATGCCCTATTGAATTCCAAAATTATAGTGTTCTTATGTGATAATGGGCAATGTCAGCAAATATTATATCAAGTAAATGCTGGGATGGGGCATAAGGAATTACTTTGATATTTTATGAAACCTTGTGACTGTGATACTGGATGATGTTCTCAATGGAATTTCTTGATGAGAGCTTACTTAAATCTTTGGTGGGATTGGTTGTCAATACGTTCAGACTTTGCTGCTGGTATAGGAGGGACCTGTCCAAAGTTTAATTCCATAAATTACATTTCAGATCTATTCTATGAAAAACAAGCCACGAGGATTTTGTGTTGTTATAAACAATGAAGATTTTACTGATTCAAAAATAAAGATGGAAGATCGTACAGGATCAGAAAAAGACTATAATGCATGTCTTCAATTATTCACTGAGTTGAATTTTGAAGTTAAGACATTTGGCAACAAGACAGCATTTGTATGTTTATTATAATTTATCATACTCAAAATTGAATTAAGCTGATCTGATGTGTTATTCCCATTAGCGTGGATTAAAATCTATATGATGTTCAAATTATGTTTCGAAATATTGATCAGAAGTCAGTTTGTTTTTATATGCCTACATTGAAATGTGATTGTATATTGTCAATGGTCTGCGCATAGGTCCAGTGTCTACAATTGCTTGCAGTGGATGCTCTAAAGGTCATGAGACGAAGAAACCTATTGCTCACATTGAAAACACCAGTGGATGGTTTAGAGGCTAAATTTAATATCTGATTGACTTACAGAGCATTCAAGGTCATTGATTTTCAACGATTTCCATTAATTACTGCCATAGTTATGGCCCTTGATCACTTTGAAATCTCTTTATACATAGTGTTCGAGGTCATGAGACAATGAAACCTATGGATTTTCAACAATTTCCCACAAGGTCATGAGACAAAGAAACCTGTTGATTTTCAACAATTTAAGATAATTACTGCAAGAGTTCCAGAGTTATCGTCCTTGATCACTTTGAGTAATCTTGTGAACTCTCTGGAGGTCAAAGTGTAAGCCTGGGACAGAACAAGATGCCAAACAGATCCTAATAAATGGGTTCTTACTCTTAATCAATTTTTAGTGTATTGTAAATGCTTTCATTTTCCAGCAATAGACATAATATACGATAACCCTTGTTGACCGCATGGACAGCTTACATGCTGTGGGTGTATGTTTCATTGCCTGGCTACCTTTATTTTAATTTTAGTTTTATTTTGTAATTTTAGTTTTATTTTTTGGCATAAACCATCAACAGCTTTATCTCAATATCAAACTATAAATTGTTGTTGGTTTCTTATTTCAAGCAACTTGAAGAGATTGCACAAGCTTATAGTAGAAAAGATCATTTGAATTATGAATGTTTTGTGATGATTGTAATGTCACACGGATCTAAAGGGAACATATATGGGGTGGACGGTGAAGAAGTTGAGATCGAAAGACTAACCAATTGTTTTAATAAAGTTAACTGTCCTTCATTAAAAGGAAAACCAAAGTTATTCTTTATTCAAGCTTGTCAGGATGGTAGGTATAAGAGTATAATCTATTGTTTACATCAACAGAATATCAGTTATTTAAATTAGCATTTATTTGAAAACGTTTTAGGCATCCTTAAGATAATCCTTCTACCATAGCTTTATGGGAATCAGCCACTCATGGTATAGTTCACTATTTAAACTAAGATGCATTAATTAAAGGGGAGTTGGGTGGCCGAATGGTTAACGCATGAGCTTTGGAGCACAGGGTCTGTCATTGAGTCATGTGACGTGCATTCAATTCCCCTCTTGTTTTTTCTTCGGGTCCTCTGGTTTCCTCCCACTGCTAAAAACACATATGCGCAAGCGACTTATTGAAATAAAATTGAACTATATGTTAGTCCCAAAATGACCTGGTTTGTGTCAAACCATCTCTCTCTCTCTTTTGTATGAGCTAAATCTGCCTATTGCAGGTCTTTCTGTTGGCTTCAAATGACATAATATATAAATAATTATTTATATATATATTCACATATTCACAAGTCTGTATAGTGGGAGCCCCGAGGGGAGGGGGGTGAACGTAGCTGAAAAATGTACCAATTTTCTCCAAAATGGTATCAATGCATGTATATCTGGTATCATCAGAATTTTAGTCTGATGGGTTTCTGATGGTGGGTGTGGCTATGAGGGTTGTGATTCTGGGCGTGAATTCTTGCTAGATTAGCTCAAAGTGTACCACATGAAAATCGTGCAGAAGTGGAACGTACATCTTCAGGTATTACAAAAACACTATAACAGACATTTCTAGTGGTGGCATACCCCTGACAGAGCTATGTGTTTGCAAAAAATTGATTTTTGAGCAAAAAACGTTTTATTGGGCTAAAAATGCATTTTTGAAAAAAGAAATTGGCCCTGCAGCCACAGTTTATTGCCTTATCCTAGCATACAGCGACCTATGAGGGAAATTTTTCTTGGTCACCGGCACTACAGTTTAACATCCTACTGTTCTGCTCAGAATGAGCTAATGAAGACACACATATAATATGCTGTGAGGGAAATTTTTCCCAGACAGCGGCGCTACGGCCTACTCTTATATCCAACTCCAACTGCCAAGGGATCTTTTAAGTGCACATCAATGTGTACACGGGACCTCTGTTCTTTTGTCCTAGCTGAATGAAAGACCCTCTTTCCTACGCCAATGGCAAGGGGCAACCACGCCGGAAAATCCTGATGAACTTTATTAGCCAATACAGATCTTGATCACTGAGACACCCAAGATTGATTGCATCGAGACTTCAGTTCAGTTCAGTGCAACGGTTAAAATGAATTTTTTTTTTCTCACATTTTTACGTGTTTGATAAAGACAAGAGAACCGTTGATGAAACATTGCCAGAAATAAACATCCAAGTAACTTGTATTCCATATAATTTCTCTATGTTGTACATATTTAAGAAGTTTATTTAATACAATTTATTAGTATCCTGTGCACGCTGCACAGATATTTTTGATTAAGACTGGATGACAAAGTTGCTGCAGACCCATCATTTTAAATTTTAAACTGTTATTCATGTTTCTCCTTTTTATGTCTTATTCAGTCAAACAAGAAAACATCACACAAACAGTTATCACCGAGGAGGAAATTTCAATTTCAAAGAAAATGGATAAACTACGTATAAGTAAAGATGCATCAGATGGTGATGGTGAAGCTGCTTCAATGACAGACTTTGTCATTGCTATGGCAACAATGCCAGGTAATTTTTTTTTTTTTAAGTACAAAAATTCAATAAACGGCAGGGCGGGAAATGTTTGCCTGCCTACTTTTTGCTGGCTGGAAATATTTACCACTGAGTGAAAATATCTAGTGAAATTTACTTAAATATACATTATGCAAGAGCTAAATTGGCCTATTGCAGGTCTTTCTTTAGGCCTGAAATGTTATCTAAATTATTAATTAGACATCAATTAACTCATCCAGACTATAATCAACTCTCGATGTTATCGCTAGCCTACAATATTTACTGGATTAGAATCTGATCTGCTGCTCAACGCTCATTGATGATTAAATCAAAAAATGGATAATCGAGACTATGTTTCTTTTATCGTACCGACTTTAGTAATGATGATCAAGGCTAGGCCTAAAATTCAATCACTAAATTCTCTGTTCAGAAGGGATCAATTTGACTAAAATTTTCAGCAAATTCCCTTTACATTATCTAGTTTTTAACTTTTATAATGAGAACTGCCAGCTCTTTATCTAATCTCCCAATGTATCTTTAATGTTAAGCAATTTAACTTCTGACCAAAATACTTGCATAATACCTCGCATATGTTTAATTATTCCTTTCCAAAATTGTTATGTAAGAAATACTGCGAAGAAGGTGATCAAGCGCAATGATGCACTGCATCATTTTAAGTCAATATGGCTAATAAGAGCTGATTTCTCACTACACTAGTTTTCATCTGGCAAATATCTATGCATGTTCATCTAAAAAGAAATGGTACCATAAACAAATATGGCGGCTTGAGTGGAAATGTCCACAGCTCATTTCTCGGTTTATGTAACCATTTAAAACACTCAACAAAGCTATGTCAGCAACACAAAAAAACTGCTGATGGCCATATAATCGGTGCCTGGCAACAATGTTCATATTTTTTATTGTAGGTTATGTTTCATGGAGAAGAATAGATATTGGAACATGGTTTATTCAAGCCATTGTCTATATATTTAAAAATTATTCACATCAGAGAGATATTAATGGATTAATGACATATGTAAGTTTCCTTTCAAATACCAAAGACAGTTAAACATTGCCTATTCACCGATAATTTATAGAAGGCTGAATTATCCTGAATTATTGTGGGTGGTTGAGTGGTCTAATGTGTGCACTTTGGATCATAAGGTCTGTAATTGAGTTAAGTGTCATGGTTTTGATCCATACTTGCAGGTGACAAGCAGTAGAGTTGCTGTCCAACCTCATGGGTTTTCTCCAGGCTTTCTCCCACTGTATTGGCAAAGAAAGTTTATCTGGGTTTTACATCGTAAAATTAATGTCCCTTGGCAGATGGATTTCGATATAAGAGTAGGCCATAGTGCCGCTGCCCGGGCAAAATTTCCTCAAAGCACACTGTATGGCATATGGCCGTCTTTTTTAGCCCAGTGGGAGCAGAACAGTAGGACATTAAACCCCATTTCATTTGATGTATTAAATTGAAACAATGGGAGAAAGAAATACCATATTTTGATAGGTTTAGAGTTGTGTCTAACATCAGATTATTTCAATTACAGGTTAACAATTTAGTTCAGAAAGCAGGTGGAGGGGATAGACAATGTTCTGTTTTTAGATCATCCCTCAGTAAAGATTTTTATTTCTTCCCTGGTCTTGATGAAACACAATTTAGAAGCCAGCCACTCAATCAGATGTTAATGGAACCTAATTAATATTACAAATATTATGCAAATAAACCCCCCCCCCCCCGACTTAGCCCTGTGAAATACATTAAATAACAGAAAACAATATGTGAAGGATTGAAACATATGTATTATAAATGTGAAGTGAATCGGTTAACTCTTCTTCTACTTTGAAAAGTTTATCAAGATTGCGATCTTTGTTAAAGATACATTAGTTAAGAGTTTATAAAGAATTAGCCATTTTTGCTATAATAATTCAAAAATAGATGATAAGAAAAGAAAATGTTGAAAATTTCAGTCAAATTACTTTGTTCTGAACGGAATTGTCACTGTTGGAAGTTTGGACTAGAAAAAGGCATCAATTGTGTCTGCACCGTCTATGAGAATTGGCTATCGTTTGATTGACAGACGATAACTCCACTCACATATTCTCGATTATCAGGTAACATGCTCAATGGCTATGGTAGCCTCGCTTGGCAGGCCTTTTATCACCAGTTTCCGGTAGTGACATCAGCGACTATCGGTAAACGTTCACTTGGTCCGCCATTTATTGATTTAATTTCAAATGGACGCCTGTTTAAATCCGAACTATATCCAAGCCATCTGATGGTCTACAGAGTTGATTTTGAGCTTGTCATGTAAATAAAGGTCTAATTAATAATTTCTATAACATCTTAAGCCTAAATAAAGACTTGCAAAAGGCAGATTTAGCTCTTGCATAATGTATGTTTTGTTAAGTCAAATTTGACTTTGATTTGTCATTCTTAGTCGTATTTTGTCCATTCTTTGTCATAGATTGGATTGCAGTATAATTACATTTTCATAGACTGATCCAGAGCAGTAGAAATCAAATCCTTGTTGGATCTTTCATAATTGATTGACAAGCTCTTTCATGTTTCTGCAGACAGCTTAGGATTTTGACCTGATCTTGACATTAAAAACCCATTGCTGCTAAAATGATGCAGTCCTTATTGTGATACTGAAATAGTTTTGTTTGAACTTGAAACGAAACAAAAATGACACAAGGTAATTAGTAATATAACATGGAATTGTATATATCTATGTGAGTTAATTAGCTGATTTTTTTGTCCCCCGCCTTTCGAAGAAAGCAGGGGACTATTAAAATGGGTCTGTCCGTCTGTCTGTCCGTCTGTCTGTCCGTCCGTCCGTCCGTCTGTCTGTCCGTCACACTTTTTGGGACACAATAACTCTCTTCCTAATTGAGCTAGAATGTTCAAACTTGGTGTATGTGTTTATTAGGTCAATGCCTTGATGGAGTTCGAAGATGAGCATTTTCCGCTTAGGGTAAGCAGAGATAAGCAATTTGATTGGTTGATGCTTTGGGACACGATAACTCTCTTCCTAATTGGGCTAGAATGTTCAAACTTGGTGTATGTGTTGATTAGGTCAATGCCTTGATGGAGTTCGAAGATGAGCATTTTCCGCTTAGGGTAAGCAGAGATAAGCAATTTGATTGGTTGATGCTTTGGGACACGATAACTTTTAATTGAGCTAGAATGTTCAAACTTGGTGTATGTGTTTATTAGGTCAATGCCTCGATGGAGTTCGAAGATGAGCATTTTCCGCTTAGGGTAAGCAGAGATAAGCAATTTGATTGGTTGATACTTTGGGGCACGATAACTCTCTTCCTAATTGAGCTAGAATGTTCAAACTTGGTGTATGTGTTGATTAGGTCAATGCCTTGATGGAGTTCGAAAATGAGCATTTTCCGCTTAGGGTAAGCAGAGATAAGCAATTTGATTGGTTGATGCTTTGGGACACGATAACTTTAGTTCTAATTAAGTGAGATTGATGAAACTTGGTGTATAGTTTCATGACAGTAATACCTTGACTAAGTTTGATAATGAGCATTTTCTGCTCAGGGTAAGCAGCAATTTGATTGGTTGATACTTTGGGGCACGATAACTCTCTTCCTAATTGAGCTAGAATGTTCAAACTTGGTGTATGTGTTGATTAGGTCAATGCCTTGATGGAGTTCGAAGATGAGCATTTTCCGCTTAGGGTAAGCAGAGATAAGCAATTTGATTGGTTGATGCTTTGGGACACGATAACTTTAGTTCTAATTAAGTGAGATTGATGAAACTTGGTGTATAGTTTCATTACAGTAATACCTTGACTAAGTTTGATAATGAGCATTTTCTGCTCAGGGTAAGCAGAGCGATACGCAATTTGATTGGTCGAGACTTTGGAAAACAATAACTCTCCTACTTTGATTGTTAGACTATAAGTAAAGATATACTGTTTGATTGTTCAATACTTTGTAAAAGATAATTTGTGATAAATTTATATGTGTCCTCTAATTATTTTCCTATTTCGGCGGGGGACATCAGCCTCACTGTTGGCTTGTTTTTTAATGATTGAGCTTATTGCCAATGTCTTCACAGATCAGTATTGTATGTCCTTAGTTAAATGGGGGGGTTGGATGGCCGAATGGTTAGTGTCTGAACGCTGTATCATAAGGTCTATCATTGAGTCAGCTGGCATGGTTTCGATTCCCCAGCTGTACGTGACAAGGTGTAAGGCCGCCTGTCCAACCTCTTAGGTTTTCCCTGGGTCTTCCAGTTTCCTCCCACTGCTAAAGACCCCTCCGCTCAAGCAGATTATTGAAATAAAATTGAACCATGTTTGTCCCGAAATAGCCTAGTTTGTGTGAGTGGACGTTAAACTCTCTCTCTCTCTCTCTCTCTCTCTCTCTCTTCCTTAATTAAATTCTGTCTAATAAAGAACATTCAAGTCTGTTTAGTATTTACAAAGATATTGTCACTAGACAATACAAACAAGCTAACAGTGAATAGTACTCAAGCTATATTGATTTATAGCAGACTTAGTATTTGACAATAATAATATCATGAAAACAAATATTCTGGTTCTCAGATATTATTGTATCAAATAACTGGCCCATTTTTCTTTTAAAAAATAAATAAATAAAGGATTGTCTGGATCATTGGTTACTGCATGTTTATATTTCTCCTGGTTATATTTGAAGCAAACCAGAAGAGTACTGTAGGCACAGTTATCAAGTATGCATCCTGTATAAATGTTAAATGTTATTGACAATCATGAATCATACTGGATAATCACACATTACATTTCTATAAATAACATTATGAGGTAAATGTTTTGCCTTTAAATGTGATGTTTGTGATTGATAAGTCAATTAGCAACATGATCCTTTGACAAAAAGGGGGTTGGATGGCTGAATGGTTAGGACGTGCGCGCTGTATCAAACGGCCTGTCATTGAGTCAACTGGCGGGGTTTGTTTCCCCGGTTGTACGTGACATGGAGTAGGGTCGCCTGTCCAACCTCGTGGGTTTTCTCCAAGTCCTCCGGTTTCCTCCCACTGCTAAAGACCCCTATGCGCAAGCGAATTATTGAAATAAAATTGAACCATGTGTTAGTCCCGAAATGACCTAGTTGTGTCGAGTGGATGTTAAACCCCATTTCTCTCTCTCCCCCTTTGACAAAATACCAAAGCAACCCCCCCCCCCCCCCCCCCCGCATCAGATTTTTGTGAACGATCATATATATTTTTTTTATGTGGCCTAAACTTGTTTTATTAATTGTGATCTTATTTGACAATATGAGTCTTATGATTATTTTATGTGGTCTCATGCTTTCAGATAAAAATACTTAGCTCAAATAAACTTTGTGTTCTTATGTAACTAAAATAATTTTTTTTTTAATATTATTAATATTAAGGAGCTTTGAAATCTGATTAAAACACAGTTCGTTTTTTATAGTTCAAAATTTTATTTTACTTGTCTTCACTAGTAACCTACGTTCATACGTTCAGGTTGATGTAAGGGCTTAGCTAATCAAATGATCTTTTGAGCCAAATTCTTACCATGCTGTGTCCAAACACTGTGGCTAGACAATTTTCCGGCGTGGTTCCCCCTTGTCAGTGATGCAGGACGGAGGGCCTGACAAGGACAGCTGTCTAGTCTTTCGGATGATACGAAAAACCGAGATCCTGTGTATATATTGGAATGCACGTAAAAGATCCCCTAGCAGTTGGAATTCGATATAAGAGTAGGCGATAGTGCCGGTGCCCGGGCAAAATTTCCCTCATAGCACACTGTATGGCGTATGCCTGTCTTCATTAGCCCAGTATAGGAGCAGAACGGTAGGACGTTAAACCCCATTTCATTTCTGTGGCTAGACATTCACATAGTCTAGTCCTAAAACAAGATGTCCATGCCCATGAAATTAATTTAAGAATTGCCATTTCAGAAAATACATTTGCATTGCCAGTTCAGTATCAAACACTCTTAATTTTTTTATTGTAAAATTTGTCTTCATGGGCCATATCTATGTTTTTTAAATTAATCCTCAGATTCTTCATCAAGATCCGTGGTTGTTTATAATAATGCATGAATTATGGGATTTATTTCGGGAAGGGGCACAACTCTTACTTATACTGGATAATCAACCACATAAAAAAACACCCCCCCCCCCCCCCCCCCCCCCCGTTTACTTATGGGCAATTGAAGAAAACAAAACAAAGCAACAGTAGTATTTCGAAATAGCTGATTAGTGAGTAGAATAATAGGGTCAAAAGTCACTTGTATGAACCCTGACATGATCTCCCATTTCAATTGGTCAGATTTTCATTGAAAATATAAAATATAGATCTGCATTTTAATCAGATTGTAAATTTTTGTCAATAATGTAAATTAAATAATTGTAATGCAAGTAAAATACTTTATTAACATATAATTTTTTGCACCTAAATATTGTCTATAAAATGGTGTCTTAAGTACAGTATAATTGCAGATATAAAATGTCTGAATAATATAAAATGTATCTTGTGTTTTTATTTCAAACAAAGTGAAGACTTGATAGAATATTCTCTGGTTATATTCTCTCGATCCCCTGAAAAATGTCAATCGAGGAAACATGAGAATTTTAAGCGACAAGGTATGTGTAACCTGAATATGATTCCATCTCGACCCATTACTGTAGCTGAAAATTGTGATCATGTCACAATACAGATTTTGAAACTACCATAACTAGGACACTTAAAATCCCTTCTTACTCAAGAAGTCTGACAGTTTGGACCATTCTGGATTGACAATCGAGCTGTTGACTTCAGTTCTAATTGTGTGTGAGTGATAAAGTGTATGATTTCATTACCTAAGCAGAGAGATAAGTAAATTGAGTTCACAATGCTTTTGTAAAAATATAAATATGCAAGTAAATAATATATTTATTTTGGAATTGAGACAGGAGACACCAGCCTCACTGCTGGGTGGTTTCGGGGACTTTCTTGACTAAATTAAAAATATGATACCATTGTAGTATGGATGTAAATATGGGTGTGCTGTGTGATTGTTTGTGTATCCGGGGATGATGTCTAAATTGTTCTGTTTTGTCTTCAGTTTAAATATACTGGCTTGGTCATGGGGGATTCTTTTTCGCTTAGTTCATCCAGATTTTTCGGAATGGTTCTACCTTGTCAGGGATGCAGGTTGGAGAGCCTGGCAAAGACAACTGTCTAGTCGTTCGGATGGGACAAAAAACCAAGGTCCTGTGTACACGTTGGCGGGCACGTAAAAGATCCCTGACAGTTGGAATTTGATGTAAGAGTTGGCCGTAGTGCCACTGTCCGGGCCAAATTTCCCTCATAGCATACTGTATGGCATATGCCCATCTTGATTAGCCCAGTTCGGGGCAGAACAGTAGGACGTTAAACCCCATTTCATTTCATTTCTTTTTGGCTTTGGCCTTGGGTCATGGGTTCAGTTCCAGACAAGAGCACCCTGTCACATTGGCCCCCCAACTTTGAATCTGATAAATTATAAAAATTAGTTACATTTATTTTCTGGTTGAAAGTGATAATGTCTCTTTAAAACTGTTATAACCTATAACTATCGATTATATATAGTTATAAAACTCCATTGGGGTTGGATAGCCGAATGGTTAGCACGTGCGCGCTGTATAATAAAGCCGGTCATTGAGTCAGCTGGTGTGGTTTCAAATCCCCAGTTGTACGTGACAAGGAGTAGGGTCGCCTGTCCAACAAATTTTATATAATTTCATATTATTGTTCAGACACATCACACAGGTCCATCACAACCATCTTGAATTATGTTTTGTTAACATTTTGGCCCAGAAAGTTTATTGTGATTTTTCTGGGGTGGTTTCCCCTTGTCACAGATGCAGGATCGAGAACTTGACAACGACAGCTGTTTAGTGAATCGGATTGAATGGAAAACTGAGGTCCTGTGGACACATTGGTCTGCACATACAAGAACCCTTGACTACAGCTCTGAGCAAGATTTCCCTAATAGCAATTAAACTGCATGATGTATGCCCGTCTTCATTAGCCCAACCAGAGCTAATTTCATTTTGTTAACACTTCATAGTATTATGAAAGTATATTAGTCTGCTGAATAATCAAATCCCAATATGGTACCAATCTGTTTCAGTTTCACGGAGGTAATGCAAACACCTTCTTTTAACTCTGTAGAAGATGACTGACCTTACGTTCACATGTATTATAGGTCTAGGTGTTATTATATTGGGAAATAGTAACACAAACTGGTACAGGCAGAATGGTGCCTTTTACTGATTTTACACCTTTGTGTACTATTTTATGCATGCTACCCATCAAAATAGGAAATAATTTTTATCCAGATATACTTCCAACATATCTATTTATTTTCTTAATGATTTAAAAAATTGCTTTAAAATTTAATTTGCAGAAGAAAAAAGGATAATATTGAGAGCCAATGTCATATATCAATGATTAAGTATAGCAGCCATCATAGAACTATATACAACTTAGTTCTATGCAGCCATATAACTGTAGCAACCAAGCGAATATTCACTGCTGAGTCTGACCAGTTTGACATATGGAACAAAAAACATCTGCATTAAATATTTTTTTTTTTTTTTACTTTATCATAAGAAAACAAAAATATGAGATCAGCATTATCGTATCACTCCCCTGTGGAGAGAAAGCGCCCGTGAGTTCTGATGTCACGTGGTTCGCGTTTCTTACTGACGTCAAACCGTAAACAATATGGCTACCTTTATGTCACTGTTAAAGAAAGACTGAATGAAAGGTTTTCAATTTGTTATTATTTATAATTTTCTTGTAATACTAGTCCATATTATATAGACCCTATAATCTATTATAATGAGGTCCATGGCCAAATAACCTGTTTAACTGTTATTACCACAATCATCGTAACTTTACGTAGTGTGAAGTCAATAATGTTCTATTCTAGCCTTAATAGGTCCGGTAGCCTATTATACCTCTAGGTATAGTTGGTGTCTGATTAATCCATAGATTCTTAAACTGCTTTATTCACGAAGTAGAAAAACAGCTCATCCAAAAACGACACTTCGAATAATTTTCCAATGAGTTAAATTAACTCATGTACATAGATCATAGAACTAAATATTTAGTTCTATCTATGCATAGCCTAGAAGATAGACTAAGGTTGATATGGTTGACTCAAAGTATTACATACCTGTAATCTCAAAACACTGGTGATACAAGTCAGTCATGAGAGCAATCAATTTTATTTGTCTTAAATCTTTAGACTTTGTTTTCAAGGAGTTAAATAACCTAGCTACATGTAGCGTTGTGGCTGGAGTAAGGCGGAAGACATCAGTAGTGGGACCATTTCTATAAATAACCAAGCTGTATCTTTTATAAAAAAAAAGTCTACCTTAATCAGCAGAAATCTTTATTCTGAGAGAAAAAACATGCTTTATAAATGACAATATTATTATTAGGCCTATCTTATGGGTAGGGTAAATTTGAGGTCTGGGGTTAAGAGTTGGTTAGACAAAAGAAATTCTTTAATAAAGTCCATTCACTCCATTGTCACTTACTGTAAACAAATGTTATTTTAAGTAGCTAACCAATTTAACCACCAGGATTTTCAAAAATTGTATTTGAAAATGAAATGAAATGGGGTTTAACGTCTTACTGTTCTGCTCTGACTGGGCTAATGAAGATGGGCATATGCCATACAGTGTCCTATCAGGGCAATTTCGCCCTGGCAGCGGCACTGTGGCCTGCTCTTATATCCAATTCCAACTGCCAAGGGATCATTTGCGTGCATGCCAATGTATACACAGGACCTTGGTTTTTTTGTCTCATCCGAATGACTAGACAGCTGTCCTTGTCAGACCCTCCGTCCTGCACCACTGACAACAGGGAAACCACGTCGGAAAATCCTGATGAACAAAAATTGCATTTGAGAAATGTGAATGTGTTTGTAAGTTTCATTAAGTTTGCAGATGTCTGTAATGTAGTATTGTTTGATCATTACAAAGACTGGTTACTTTTTGTGGCTGATTTTTATAAAATCATAAAAATATTGCTACACAACACTGTACTTTATACTCTAAAAATGTCGTAATAGAATTGACTGTAATGAAATGATAAATCATGGAAAATATTGCTATTTTAAACTTTAAAAATATCATTATAAAATTGACTAAAAAAATTCTTCTTTTAGGTACCGAAGTCACTAAAAATATTCCGTTTTGAGAAATAGAGTACTAATGTCAATATTCTATTTTAACTTCACATAGTGCATGATGGGTAATAGTGAGTCATCATATGAAAGTCCAAAGCCAGTGAAATCTTTATTGCAAAATCAGGCGAGAATTGATAAATTAACTCGTTTTCTAGAAGCTAAAGCAGAATATGAGAAAACTGTGGAGGTGTTTGATGGGAACGGAATTGATAAATATGAACAAGACAAGGTAAGTGTTAATATATTTATAATTCGTTTACTGTTTATTTGAAAGTCAATTCATAATATAAGGCAAGTCAAGTTTGTAATATGGCAGGTTCCTAATAATAAGCACAAGTTGTAGCGCTACTCAATCTCATGTTGTAAAAGTTATGCTGTAAATAAACCATAGTCCACTATGTGTGGTTTAATGGTCGAGAGCAAGACATTGAGTAAAATATTGAAACAACACGAGGGACGTTAATATAATATAAGCTTATGTTGTTTCAATATATTATGCAGTGTCTTAAGCTCAAGACCATTAAACAACTTAAAATACAGACACTCGCACATGCTTTGTAATGAAATACATGTACGTCACATTGCGGCCATTCTTCGTACCATTATTTGAAATAATGGTACGCTAACATCAAAGGATGATGTCACATCTTTATTTTAAACAGTTTTAGTTATCACAGAACCTAACAGGACAATAAATGTAAAGTAAGTGCCATACAATAGTAGTAGCAGCAGAAGTCCAAAAACATAAATGTGTATATATGTATGTCAGACAACACAAGAATACTGAAATTCAAATTCCATGAAAACATGTATGAAAAAGAAACAATGTCCCTTCATTTACAACATTTCCAAAGTGTGATAAAAAAAAAGAAGAACTCTTTCAACATCTTACACTGGTAATACCATTAGGGATTTCCATTCTGAATGTTTTGCCATTAATTTGCCATAGATATATTTTGAATTCTTTAATTACCAGTATACCATAAAGATGTGTTAACAAATACAGCTGATTTGGATGCAGGATTCTGTTATATCACATGTCCCCAAATACAAATAAATAGAACAGTTTAATACAATTTCAAGTTTAATTCTAAATCCAAAGAAGGCCTACAGTATCCGTACTCTGTTTATATTTATGTTAACCCACAGTCTCTAGCTATTTACCTTAACAAAACTTGATACAAGCCTCTTTGAAAAGAAGAATGGTTCTTTTTGTTGTCTTGTTCCCTAGAGGTGTCCAACCTCGCAGGTTTTCGCCAGGTCCTCCGATGTTTCCTCCCACTGCTAAAAACCCCTACGAGCAAGCGAATTGTTGAAATAAGATTAAATCATGTGTTAGTCCTGAAATGACCTAGTTTGTGTCGAGTGGACTTATAACCCATCTCTCTCTCTCTCTCTCTAAAAAGATTAGCGCATAAATATGATTATCATAGTTATTGTTCTCTTTTTTTTGATTTGTTTAGCAAAGTATGAAAATGTTGAAAGGGCTCTTTAAGAAGTTGGACCCTAGATATGAGACTATGAAAAATATTGGTGAAGTTAGTGGAGAAATACAGCTGTCTTTTAAATATGATGCTGAAAAGGAATTTTTACTTGTCAAGGTTATAAAATGTCGGGAATTGAGGTGTGGAGGTATTCGCTCTAAAACTTCCAGTCCATATGTAAAGGTAAGACTTAGCTGGAAGAGGGGGGGGGGGGGGGGTTGTTGTTCACAATAAAATACTATTTATGGATAACATTTACTGTAGTTTATTACAGTGTGACATTTCAACAAGATTTCACAAGTAGTTATCAAGCATATATGTTTGATCCCTGCATTGGCTGAGAAAGTTAATCCAGATTTTCCGTCGTTGTTCCCCCTTATCAGTGATGCAGGATGGAGGGCTTGACAAGGACAGTTGTCTAGTCATTCGGATGGGATGAAAAAATGAGGTCCTGTGTACACATTGGCGTGCACGTAAAAGATCCCTTGACAGTTGGAATTTGACCGGGCAAAATTTCCCTCATAGCACACTGTATGGCGTATGCCTGTCTTCATTAGCCCAGTATAGGAGCAGAACAGTAGGACCCTAAAGCCCATTTCATTTCATATCAAGCATATCATATCAACACAAATAAATGGTTGTTTTGTTGTCTAACAATGCAACCAAAACATTCTAGATCGAACAATTTGATTGGCTGTCTTTACTGGTAAGGGAATTAGTGAAAAAGCAGGAAGCACTATCAGCACAATTGTCTTAGTCTGCATACAGTGCTTTATTTAGCAGGGGTGTTGCCTACCACCATTCATTTGAATTGATCACTCAAGATTTTAATTTACTCCTTAGTATTTTACCTTGATTTGCATTTTTCTTGCATTAAACTACATTGATGTTAAAGACATTGTTATATATTTCAGATGGACATGTATCCAGACAACCACAGTCAAGGTTCTCAACTTACTAAAATTGTTGTTGAAGAAAATAATCCAGTTTTCTCGGAAATTTTTTCCTTTAAAATTAATGAAATTGAAATAATTGACAATAATCTGGTGATACAAGTCTGGGATTATGACGTAGTTACGCAAGATGACTTTTTAGGTGAAGTTATTGTCAGACTTCAAGATTTCGACTTCAATAAATCACCTATTCATACAGCGTGGTACACCCTCAATATGAATGTAAGTTTCTATTCTGATGTCTTTATCATTACACGTCAATATACGCCCACATTTTATTAGAGTATATTGTCGGTACCCCTGTTTCTAGGTCCGCTCTACAAGTCAGAGTCTTTGAATTTTTTGTTCAACTTGCAGGTATTGTTTAGTTAATCGTAAGGATGAACCCTATCAAAATTTTTGATCGCACAATTTATAAACTAGTCCTAGTCCTAAAAAGGAACACTACTGAAATGAGTCGTGAAATAATTTTTAGCAACTATCCCAGTCTACAAAGCCTTATAAATACTCTACAGATCGTAGTTTTTGAGATTTATTTTTTACAACATTCTGGGATTGTTCAGCTAGTCCTGATGAGAATCCTATTGGAATTCAGAGTTACTGCCCCTGTTGATAAAAACTTGTAAATGCTCGACTATATTTTAAGTATGATGTAATATTATTTCAGACTGATCTAAGTGTTAGTGGTGATTTAGAGATAAGTTTAGCTTATAAGTTACCTCAACAACTCTATGTAACAGTTCATCAAGCCACTGGATTATCTCCCCCTGATGGCCAGTCGTCATCCAGTCCATTCGTCAAGGTAGCTATTCCTGGAACTAAATCTGTTTACAGTTCACAGGTATTATTTTTACTATTCTTTCTTTTATTGATTCTCTGATCTATAATAAATCTTGATTAACACTAGCAAACTGTGAGTGATTTGTTTTTAGGAGGTAAAATAATGAAATAAACAATTCAGTTATTGTATACAATCTTCACATTGGTTTAATAACGTAAGTTTTAAAAATGAGACATGATCTTTAAGTTTTTTAACTTTCTAGATTCAAACATATTTTTGCCAAAACTCCCAGGCAGTGAAACTGCAACCTCTGTGCGTTGATTCCTTCTTTATTGGCTTGTATAACACCTTAATGTTAATGGAGCTTTTGCATTGCAGATTGAAAAAAGTATTACCCAAAAATTGTAGAATGCGGTGTGCCATATGTAGAACTTCGTGAACTTAAAGATTATTTCGTTTTATTTTTAGGTTGTGCGAAACTGTTTAGATCCACAGTGGAATGAAACATTTGAATTCTTGGTTCCTCAAGAAGAGTTAGCTTTCAGGTAATATTAATACAAAAACTATACACAAGCTATCTGCTGTTGCATAAATAACGTTGAAAATCTTTTCCAAAAAAGGGATGGAAAATTTAGCTACTATAAAACTCAGAATTATTATCGATGTGAAGATTTATTTTGAATGCAAATTGGATGAATTCCACAATTGTGTAATGTAGATATAGATTTGAAATATCAAAAGTTTAAAAGTTGATCAGCAATTTGTCTTTTGTAATTGAATGGGGGATCATGAAGTCTGTCATTGAGTTAAGTTGCATGGTTTTTATCCAAGCTTGTAGGTGATAACTGACAATTAACCTCCCCAATTTATGCTAAAACACCTACACATTTAAAGTATTGAAATACGTTTGTACAATAACAAGTTGGTCCAGTTGGTCCTGAAAGGACCAAGTTTAAACCCCATATATTTATCTTTGAATTGGGCTCGTGATTTTCAGAATAATTGATTCTAGATCTTGTTTTTGTCCAACAGATATATTGTTTTCCATGTTGTTGATGAGAACGATAACTATGGTAACTCATCTCTTGGACAAGTCATACTTGACCTTGATACATTTGACCCTGAAAAAGGTCATCATGAGAGTTATAAGCTTGCTGATCTGGTAAGAAATATATTTTTATCATCTATCCAATAGTCATATTGTAGCTGGTCTCATTTTAAAGTGGTGTTATCACTCTCACCCTGTAAGAGATATATTTTAATTCTACATATATCTAGTAGGATTCATATTATAGCTGGTATTATCACTCTCACCCTGTAAGAGATATATTTTAATTCTACATATATCTAGTAGGATTCATATTATAGCTGGTATTATCACTCTCACCCTGTAAGAGATACATTTTAATTTGATATCTATCTAATAGGAGTCATATTTTAGCTGGTCTCATTTTAAACTGGTGTTATCAATCTCACCCTGTAAGAGATATATTTTAATTCTACATCTGTAAAGGTATTTTTACAATTGTTAAACTGATTGAAAAATGCTAACAAATTTGTACTACTCTTAAGATAAAGTTGAAATGTGTATAGCTTGATAGATTTGCCTCAAATTTGGCATACAGTCTTGTTTGTAACTATATATCCAGATCCAGCCTAGACCTCCAAATTGCTGATTCCGCTTTAAAATTATAGTTTTAGTTTTTTTGACTGTGACTGTTGGACTGTCATCTAAACCTTTTTCTGGTTGAAGATATTAAATTTTAAATGCAGAGATATGGGACAACTACGAATACATGTTCTCTCATGCAAAAAATATCTATTATTTTTCAGAAAAATTCAGAACATTTGAAAAATAAGACGTCTCAAACGGCAACATCTCAAGAATTTAGAGAATCTTTTATGGCACATGCTTCTATTCGTCATCCTCAGTTCCTGTTTCAGAAAGAATCCCAAACTGGCAAAAAGGTATGATTTCTTCTCTTTTCAACAGCTGATGGCAAGGGAATCCGAGGTTTAAGTAGCTCTGGAAGTCAAGCTGAACTTTACTGCAGATTAAAGGGGTGGCTGATGAAGCAAGGTGTCCCCCAAACTTAGTGCAAGAGAAATTTGAAAAATATTGTTGTGTCTTAAATTCTTAACACTAACACATTCATTGCAAATGAATTCTTCTTGGACTGTAGATTTTGAAGTTAAACAGAAAAAGTGGCAGTTAATCATAAATGTTATATATTAACAAAATATTACTAGAATTTAGAGAGGCCAGATATTATTTTGATGAAAAGGTCCCCCCATTTGAATTACAGGGGTATTTTGGGTGTTTTGTGGGGGTTATCTGACTTGATATTCTATCAGCTGTCATCCCTGATATGATAAACCTTCAACATTTTATTGATTGGAAATTTATTAATCACTTTTATTCAACAAGTTTTATTTATTTATATTCATATTTCAGGTTTTTACGTTGACCTGTAGAAAAGCTAAATGTAAAGGCAGAATCAGGGCTGTTGATGGAATCCTGGTCGCTTGAGGAAAATCAGGGCTGTTGATGGAATCCTGGTCACTTGAGTTAATAATAAAAAAATATTAACGCGAACCATTTCAAATACTTTTTCAAAGACTCGATACAAACTACATGATCATAATCTACATGATCATAATCTCAAACATACAGATTCCAGATCATAAAACATTTTTAGTTCAACATTTTATATTTAAATTGCCTTTTACAAACCAAAATATGTGCTTCCTCATTTATTATCAGGCGCTGAGTTCACAAAGCATTCTCAGACTTAAAGATACATTATGGGAGATTTTTATAGAGAGTTGGCCATTCTTGCTATAACAGTTCAAAAGTAGATGATGAAAGAAGAATATATTGAAAAATTCAGTCAAATTACTTTATTCTGAACATAGTTATCATCGTTGTAATATTTGCCTAGAAATGGTAGCGAAATGTGTCTTCACCTTCGCCGGTCGTTTGATTGACAGGCGTTAACTCCACCTACATATCTCGATTATTAAGTAAAGTTTTCAATAGCATACGGAAACGCTTTACAGCGGCCTTGCTAAGTACACTCTATCATTTAGCCTCGATCTAACTGATGTATTTTCATCAGGTTACCCCTTATCTGATTTAATCAATTAGTGAAATCCTATTTAAATCCGAGCTGTAGCCGAGCCATCCCTGGGTCTACAGAGTTGATTTTGGTCTTGTTGTTTAAATAAAGATCTAATTTATAATTTCTATAACATCTGAAGCCTAAATTAAGACTTGCAATAATCAGATTTAGCTCTTGCATAATGCATGTTTAAGTTAAGAATTTACACAAAATTGTTCGCCTTACTTTAACTAAAATATAGCCCTTTATAAAACTTTTATTGTTTTAATGTATCAAATACATCAATAAGAAACTATGTGCAAACTTTTGTGTTTCTGGATCCCAGATATTTCTCATAAACAGTGAATGAAAGTTGAGTAAATTCTTAACTTAAAGTAGCTAAGTCTCTAACTCAATATCATCCAAAATCTTCGACATTGTAAACACAATTTTATTTGTAGGTTTAAATCAACATTGATGTTGTGATATTACCGGGAAAAGATGGCCTTCTGATATCCAATATTTAAAGACAAAATAAACATTTTACAATTGGTACACGAATTGTTTACCATAATGCGTTTCAGCGCTATTTGTAATAAGGGACTCGAAAAACGAGGCTAGGCATATTCCACAAGTTATGTCAAACGGTGACATCATATTCTTATCTGGAGAGCATGCCAAATAAATACTATCGGCGTAGACTGGAATAACCAGACGCTAGAGATTGAAATTCGGTTGAGAATACTGGCGTATTTCGCCGAACCTAACTGATTAGAAATTACAGTAAAAACAGGAACGATTGAATGTAAATCAATTTATATACATTCATATTACATTATTGTATGCGTTGCGACCCATTTGTGTCAATTTCTAGGTCCCAAATATTAGCGACTTAGCTCCTTTAAGTCTGAGAATGCTTTGTGAACTCGGGGCCCGATTTAAAAGACATGTTGATGCTGTAACAGGGAGATGAAAAAATATAACTGAGTTGAGAAAAAATTGTCTGTCAATTGGCATTTTAAACATACATTATGCAAAAGCTAAACCTGCCAATTGCAGGTCTTTTTTTAACCCTGAAATGTTATCTAAATTATTAATTAGACATAAATTAACTTATCCAGACCATAATCAACTCTCGATGGCATCGCTAGCCTGCAATATTTACTGGATTAGAACCTGGTCTGCTGCTTCTGATTAAATCAAAAAATGGATAATTGAGACTATATTTTTTATCGTGCCGACTTTAGTAATGATGATAGAGGCTAGACCCCAAATTCAATCAGTAAATACTTGGTTCAGGGTGGATCAATTTGACTGGAATTTTCAGCAAATTCCCTTTACATTATCTAGTTTTAAACTATTATAGTGCGAACTACCAACTCTTTATCTAATCTCCCATAATTTATCTTTAATGTATTGCTCTATATATTGATGTTTACCCGACAGTTAGACTTGATGAGCTGCAATATTTTACAAATTTTATCGTTTGTTATGATGTGTGTGTTTTTGTTTATATTGTATTTACTTAAAGCCACTGGGCGGGTTGGATGGTCGAATGGTTAGCACATGCATGTTGTATCATAAGGTCTGTCATTGAGTCAAGTGGCGTGGTTTTGATTCCCCGCTTGTACATGTGACAAGGAAGGAGTAGGGTCGGAAGGAGTAGGGTCGTCTGTCCACCCTCATGGGTTTTTTCGAGGTCCTCCCACTGCTAAAGACAACTACGTGCAAGCAAATTATTGAAATAAAATTGAACCATGTTAGTCCCAAAATGACCTAGTTTGTGTCATGGAGGTTACTCTCTCTGTTTATTGTAATAAGTACTAGCTCGATACCCAACTTCACCTCAGGCCCAAGATCTGTGACTTTGACCTTCATAAATCTTGCCCTAAAAGATTAATGGGGGTCATGCTGGTTAATTTGATACCACATATGTGGAGATGGCTCGCGCGCGGGGTCGGGTGGGGTGGGGTGGGGTGGGGTGGGGGGGAACATGATAGGTGAACATACTGACAGACATCTTTGATTTTATTTATATACATTTAGATAGATAGGCTAATGATCACATTGAATGATGAAAATTACTATTTGAACATTCTAAGAACATTCAATTATGTGTATTTGATGAATGTATATGCATTTTCAGAGTTCTAAAATTAGTGAATAATTCAAATCAACTTTATAATTACTAACTGGTGAAACTGTGAGTGTCAGACTGTCAGTTCATTGTTGTTAGTGGTATTGACTTAACGGGCAATTCAAATACATGTAAATAGAACAATTAGTCATGTCAACACAAGTAAAAATGAGTAATTCTATATAAATAGTACAAGTAAAAACTGAGCAGTTCTATATAAATAGTACAGGGGAAAAATGATCTAGATTACTAACAAGAGCATTCTGACTGTTGTATTTATTTTATACACTCCCATGTCTTAAAGATTTATTTCCTCGACAGTTAGATTGGCAAAAGGCCTTATACTTCATTGATTAGAATATATATTCAAACTAACAAATATGATTGTAAGTTATTCACATCATTGATTAGAATATTCAAACTAACAAATTTTAATATGATTGTAAGTTATGAATTTAAAAAAACGTATTCTATTATAAATTGAAATATACAGAACTGTCAGTCAAATTTGCTATTGACATTTAAGCATTTATTTCTTAATTTATTTATTGTGAGCTCGATCTACTCACTTTCAGTCTATAATATTATTTTTCTAGTTCATAAGAAAATCGTACTTTTGGTTAATAATCGTTTTAACTATATATTGATAAAACAAAATGTGGTTAAAGGTAACCTCTTTTTCTCCAGTAAGTTTAGCTAAGTCTCTAACTCAATATCATCCAAAGTCTTACACGTTGAAAACACGAATTATTTGTCAATTCAAATCAACATTGATGATGTGATCTTACCAGGAAAAGGTAGGCTTCTGATATCCAATATTTAAGACAAAATAAACATTTTACCATTGGTACCTGAATCGTGTACCGTAGTGCGTTTCAGCGTTATTTGTAATAAGTGACCAGAAAGAACGAGGCTAGACATATTCCACAATTCCTGTCAAATGGTGACGCCATATCTTATCTGGAGAGCATGCACAATAGACTGGAATAACAAAATGCTAGAAATCGCCATTCGGTTGAGACTCATGCTGTATTTCGCTGGACATTACTGATTTGAAATTAGAGTCAAAACAGAAACAATTGAATGTAAATCAGTTTATATACAATCAGATTGCATTATTATATGCGTTGCGACCCATTTGGGTCAATTTCTAGGTCCCAAGTATTAGCGATTTAGCTCCTTTAAACTAAACTTATACATGAGTATTCAAAGTGGATTAGATTTCTTTTAAAAGCAGGTTATATAATATTTACATATGCATGTATATATTATGTTATGACCCAGAACTGTTGGCAGTCATCAGATTATCCCCCATTTATATTTTAAAGACTGATGGATTATAAATAGAAAATAAACTACAAACACATTATGTAATGTATTCTTTGAATGGCATTTAGTAATTGGAACATAATCAAATAAAATATATATTCGTGTTGATATGATATGCTGGATAACGTTTTGTGAAATCTTGTTGAAACATTGCTTGGTAATAAACCATAGTTATTTTTATTCATAAATAGTATTTTATTTGACCTATGTAAATGCTAAGGAAAATGTTTATTTACCAGAAATAATCCCTTTATCAAGCATTTTATAATTTTAAAAAATCTGAAAAAGTAATTTCATCAGAATAAAGGCAGATGGTCACAATTAGCTTGAATTTTCACAATATCTTTTATCTTTAGCAACACATGGGAAAAAATTAATTTCAATGATTTTGATACTTTTCCAGAATTCACAATCAACTGGCATTTAACTTATGTAATGCCAATTGTCATACAATTATCAACATTAATTTATTGTCCAGGAGCTAATGACCAAATAATATGGTGATAAGTCACAGAAGATTCGTTTCCCTAAACTTTCTGCAGGTGTCCATATCATTATTGAAATGGGGGGTTGGATGGCCGAATGGTTAGCATGTACGCGCTGTATCATACCTGTCATTGAGTCAACTGGCGTGGTTTTGAATCCCCGGTTGTACATGACAAGGAGTAGGGTTGCCTGTCCAACCTCGTGGGTTTTCTCCGGGTCCTCCCACTGCTAAAGACACCTACGTGCATGTGAATTATTGAAATAAAATTAAAACCATATGTTAGTCCCGAAATGACCTAGTTTGTGTTGAGTGGAGGTTAAACCCCATTTCTCTCTCTCTCTCTCTCTCATTATTGAAATATCACTTGACCAAACTGTGCACTGTTGTGGAATATAGCCACAACAGCACCTAAAGTACCTCTGTTCGGGTGTCTATAATATGATCATCATAATTGAAAGTTTCTAACAGCAAAGGTCTCTATAATTTAATGTACATATGTGATCCATCTGAAATGACAAGTCTATTACGATATAAACTAAAATGTTAAAATAGAGTGAAATATCTCTTTAATGACAAAACATGAAAGGTAACTCTCTTTGGGTTTTTTTTTATATATATATTTTGCCCATTTGGATATTTTAGTTCCTATAAAGTAACCAATGACATATATGTACTCTTTATGTTTTTTTAAAATTGTTATACATGTACTAATAATGTTTGAACATTATTTTTTTTTTATGAAATATTCTGTATTTTACTGTGATATAAAAGCCTCAGCTGTGATTATTACATTAATATGTATTACAAAATAAACAAGAACAAACTTTGTTTTCTTCATGAATTTAACCTTTTTACCACAGACTTAAAGATGCATTATGTAAGAAAATGAAATGAAATGAAATGAAATGGAGTTTAACGTCCTACTGTTCTGCTCCTAACCTGGGCTAATGAAGACGGGCATACGCCATACAGTGTGCTATGAGGGAAATTTTGCCCGGACAGCGGCACTACGGCCTACTCTTATATCGAATTCCAACTGCCAAGGGATCTTTTACGTGCACGCCAATGTGTACACAGGACCTCGGTTTTTCGTCCCATCCGAACGACTAGACAGCTTTCCTTGTCAGCCCCTCCGCATTATGTAAGAGTTAAATCTGCCCACTGCAGGTCTTTCTTTTGGCTGGGGATCACGGTGGCTAAGACGCTGGCTCGCTAGCCTTAGGTCTAATGTGGTTCCCCCTTGTCAGTGATGCAGGACGGAGGGCCTGGCAAGGACAACTGTCTAGTCGTTCGGATGGGCTCAAAAACCGAGATCCCGTGTACACATTGGCTTACACATAAAAGATCCCTTAACAGTAGGCGGCTGTCTGGGCAAAATTTCCCTCATAGCACAACGTATGGTATAGCCTATGCCCGTCTTCATTAGCCCAGTCCGGAATAGAACAGTAGGACGTTAAAGCCCATTTCATTTCATTTTATCTGGCTTCAGATTTTATATAAATTATTATTTAGACATTTATTCACTTGACGAGCATTTAATCAATCCTCTAGATCATCGGATGGCCAAGATTTAAATGAATTTGAGAAGCCGTGAGATTTAAAAATTTAATGATAAAATAAATACTCTACATCTTCAGTCATAACTACATCCAGAAAATAGTAATTTGAATGAAATTTTCAATATATTCATTTTTCATTATCTAATTTTGAAGTATTATAGTAAGACTGGACATTTCTCTATTTAAATGTGACAATGCACATTTTAATAACAGATACACAGAAACAACAGTATTTTTTCCTGTTTGTTCATTAACAACACTCCTGTTTCTAAAGAAATGGTGAAATATGTATATTATTTTAGGTAAAATAACTTGTAGGAAACCCCAAAGAAAATTTGACTGTCACAAACGCCTTTTCCTGCTATTCCAGCCCGTGAATACAGCAATTTATTTTATGATCACTAGTGGAATACCGCGTTTTATCAGTGAAATAAAAGTGTTATTCCACTGTCTAAAGTAGTCCATGTTGTTTTTACCTAAAATGATTGTAAAATCATAAAATAAATAGAACATTTGTCGTTTTGTCGTGAATAACATATTTTATTTCATCTCTAAGCAAGAAAACGTTTATATTTTGACGAATGCTACGCATTCGTGAAAATATAAGTTTTCTTGCTTCTCGATGGATTAAAAAAGGTTATTCACTCTAAAATGACAAATTACCCTCTATATAATCTCATTTACAGTCTATGGAGATAGGACCGTCAGGTGAAAATTTTGAAAATTAACTGTTGCAAATGCGTTTACCTGCTTTTCCAGCCCGTGAATACAGCATCTTCTATTGTTATCCAATACAGCCTACCATAAGTGGCCAACCTGAATCCCAAACAACTAATCAATCTATGGGGGCCTTGCCCTTGGCCTTCTGGAGAAAATCTAACTGCCACAAATGGGTTTTTCTGCTATTCTAGCCTGTGAATTAAGTAACTTCAGAGTTGTCCAATGGTTTTGTAACCGAAATCCCACTCTATGCCATCAGACCATTGCAGCTGCATTCACAAAATAAATAACAATTGATGCCCCAAAAAATGTCACACAAAATTGAGTGACTCAAGACAAAAATGTTTTAATTTATAATCAATTCAGTACAGATTTGTGGTATTCAAATAAAAGAAAAGTAAAATTAGTGTTTTATTAGATTTCAGGCACTTTATTTTGCCAACTAGGATGAAATAATAATTTTTGTTTTCACTTTACCCATCTACCAGAAAAGTCAGATTGCCCAAGTAAAGTTCGCTTCATACTACATCCGTATTCATAAACGTATCCGCATCCGCGTTTTGCCGTTGAAATAGAAAACGTCCGGCTTTCAAGGCTGAATTGTCTGTGAGAGATTGAGTTTCTATTTGGGGAGATGATGTAATAATTTAAGGGGAAAATACTCGCTGATTGGCAAAAACTCGGCTTACTAGCCGAAATGCCGGACGCACTTTACAAAAATACGCTCTGGGAGAAATCAATCCGGCTTAACGGACGCAGTTGTTTTTGTGCGCAATACGTGCCGGATTCTATTTCAACCCTTTCTCTAAAAATGACTAAAGTATACCACTACCAGTACGTATTCACGCACGTATTTACAGGTATATATGGATACGGATGTAGTATATACGGACCTTTATTTAGGGGGTAGCTGTCCCCTCCCCAACCCTCCTAGCTGGCTCGTAGGCATATGCCTGAATATAACATTCAATTTCATCAGCAACATATGCATGACCCCAACTAATTCAAATCTACAGAAAACAGAAAAATAATTGATTTTTTTATAGTCATTTAGGAAGTCCCACATAGTCCTACATATATTTCCCATTTAAGAAATTCTTTGGATTTCAATCCATGAGATTTTTTTGTTTTTGTTTAGAGATTTGACTCCTAAATTCAAAATGGTAAATTTAAAATAAATTATGCCATTTTTTTTTTTGGAAGTGGGGTGGGGATGGGAGCTTTTTGTATTGACCATAAAAAAAAATAGATATACATTGTCCGTCAATGTTACAGCACGCCCGAGAACATTTCCCGCTCTCGTGTGCTCTGAGCTAGTTACGGCCCTAGCTGCCATGGGGTGTTATTTTTTCCCCCTTTTTTGTATTAAATTTGGGGTTTAAATTACTATTTTTGGGGATTGGGATGTTATTCAATCAAAGATATATGTCGTGGAATCTTTTGTTTATTTTCAGATATCTGTAATAGTAGACTATACGATCATCACTAATTCAGTATATGACAACACGGATGATACCGGCCACGCCCTTTTTTGATGACGTATTTTGTCATCGGTTTAGTTAGGATTCACGCGGACCATGGTAGATGAAATCAGGCTCTTAATGTTTAGGATATGTACACAGGTAAGTTTATGCAACAGATCTAGTGTTTATGTAAGAATACCACGCCACGAAACACCTGTTTTATTTATTTCCACCTTGAATTATGACATCAGTCTTGTCGTACCAATATAATATATTTTTAATAGGTTATGGCTAAAGTACACGTGACATAGGTCTATACAGGACATAGTTAATGAATAAACTTGATTATAGCCATGCAGAGAACGAAGATTTTCAACATAAATGGTTTGAAACGTCTAACGTAAACCTTTACAAATGAAACTTCGATTTAAAAATACTTTCGAACCTTCTGGACAAGTAAAATAGGATGTAATTAATGGATAATTTACACAACAGGTAAGACACTAACACATCTAGTACTTATAAGGCTATTTTTTATTTTCTGGAGCTTTCAAGCCAGCAAGAGTGTTATTGTCCCTTTAAATGCCTGTTAAATCTTTTTGAAAAAGGTATAAATTTTGGAAGGTTGACATTATTGATCATAGGCTAAATATACCGTCTAATTGATAATATTGACATAATCATTATGGCTGTTCACCTACCGTACGTAGGTCTAGCCTAGCCTACACATGTCATTGTCATTGACTCACAAGCGAAGTCGCTGGATTGTTACAATGCCTCTGAATGACTAAGCGTTAACAGGTTGATTTATATAGTCAATCAACTATTTCTATAACAAAGTGTATGCAATATGCTCCCGTTTACTGTAACAGCAACAAGATCAAAAATAATATGTAATCAGAATGTAATCATCAATCGTGTAAACACAGGTAAAATATTGTTATGTAATCAACAAAATGTCTACAGATTACCATGAGCTCACATATAGAGCTCACATATGCGTATAGAGCTCACATCAAAATCTATCTTATCTATCAGATTACTTGGGGAAATGTAATCAGGTGCTGGTGAATTACAATTACTGATTAATTGTAATCAAAAATGAGTAGCCTATATTGTAACCCTGATCACTGCATATCTTATCTATCAAATTATTTGAGGAAATGTAATCAGTCACTAGTGAATTACAATTACTGATTATTTGTGATAAAAAAGGAGTATATTGTAATCCTGATTACTGATATCAACAATGTTTTCATATCTTATCTATTTGGGATGAAGACATTTTAAAGGCCCATTCTTGCAACAAGGTGTGATCATTCAAGACCTTAAATTCGCATATAATGGATTTTTTAATGCAGTACATATCTTGTCTTCTAGAATATAATCTTCAAATCGCTCAGTTAAAATTTAAAATTTACAGCTTCAACCTGTAAATATAGGTAATTTAATTTTGACTTAGAAGATGGCATCTCCAAGTCATAATTTTGTATTTTTCATTAGTTTAATTTGATATTTTTTAATGTCATTTTGATTAATTGAAGATTGTGCAAGGTTTAGGCGAGTAGCTTTATTTGCATGTGGCATTTCAGATGGCATTATCTTGATATTTGCTGCCACATTTGAAAGGTGTAATCAAATGGAACTGACCTCCTGCTGTCTTTGTGTGGCCCTTTATCTGTTACAGAACTAAATAATCCTAAAAACAGAATTGAATAATTTGGTAAGGACCATTTTTGTGAAGTAATTACTAAACTGTTTTGTTTGCCATACCCCCCTCGTGTACCAGAATGCATTTCAGCGACATTTGTAACAAGGGACTCGAAGAACGAGGCTAAACATATCCCACAAGGTATGTCAGTGACTTCTTATTCTTAAACAAAGATCATGTTCGATATTGGTGACTACTCTGGGGCATGCTCAGGAATTTGAGCAAGTTTTCCGTGAGTCTGGGGGATGACCTGAGGTTTTATTAAATCTGAAGCTTTGAAACAAGATTTCTGCTCTTTTCATGTTAGTACATGTAAGTCAGTCATTGTAAATTCAAAGACCCGTCCTTGCTCTCTTATCTGATTACCTGAGAAAATTTACCTGGGTATCTGTCCATGATTATGGATTTCCATAAATTATGTATCAATGAAGAGTTATAATTACAAGTTATGAGGTAAACTTGTAAACTTGTACGCCTACATTGAAATGTTAACCCAAATAGAAACAGAGTGGAATCCAAAACCATTTGAATAACATAAACTCTGTTAAGAATAGGATCCCATATTCATGAAGCAATGGCCCAAGAAATCCCTCTCTGGCCATTGCTGGATTGGCTTCCAGTTCAATCAAATCTATCCCAAATACAGCAACATCACAGCCCTTTGCTAAAACTTTGGACAGTGATTAAAAACGGTGCAATTATTGTTCGTCTCCAAAGAGTATTGTTTACATTGTATCCATGTTGATAGCCTCGTTTGTCACGCAATTAGTTTTTCTGCAATATTCGACTATGCACTGGTTAATTGGGCATAATAATATCGTGAGTTATGACGTAACATTATGTAAGCATATTTGGTCCAATTTGGAGCTAGGTTTAAAACGTAATGATATTGTTACGCAATTAGCTTGGTTGTTAATCAGATTATTGACCAGTCATAATTTGGAACAGAAATTTGCTTCCTTTGCAGCAGTGTTAGGTGGGATTAGCTCTAATCAAACGAAAGACTGTGAGGAGTATGATAGGATCCAAGTTATAATAAACTTGTAACAGAAGAAATATATAGTGGTTTAAAAAAACAAAGTCACAAAACCATCTGTTATAGCATCTAACACTGTAACCCAGGTATCATTTAATCTTGTGTATCTAGCACTAATTTCTTTCACATTCGTTTAATATCAAATCTTTGTTTTAAACCTTGTAAAAAATCGTTTAAAATCACCCAAAATCAAAGATTTAATATTAAACGAATGTGAAAGAAATTAGTGCTAGATACACAAGATGAAATAAAATCCAGATTACAGTGTAACGTTTCATAAGTGTAAAAACCTACTTCCTTGTGTTCTTGTTATTTCACTTACAAAATGTTAAATTTTAAAAAAATGGTTTTGTGATACCCTTGACTGGACTATTAACCACTACATTGAAATGTGACTGTATATTGCAGTCACCAAGGTCTTCTCTCTAGTTTCCTCTCTTTCACACAAGTGAATTATTAATATAAAATTGTAGTCCCAAAAATGACATAGTTTGTGTCAAGTGCAAGCCCATTTTCTCTCGGGAGCCACGGTGGCTCAGTGAGCAAGGTGATGCTCAACGACCAAGAGATCGGGGGTCATTCGGATGGATGAAATATCAAGGCCCTGTGTTAGTGTACATGTAAATGAACAATTGGCAGTTGAAATTCAACATAAAAGTAGGCTATAGCACACTCTATGGCGTATACCCGTCTTCATTAGCTTAGCCGGCGCAGAAAAGTAGAACGTTTAACCCTATCTAAAGTGAATGTTTATTTCCTACTCGAGATCCTTGAAATCAAGTCCTGAGTGTACACAATATATCTATACATGTTGGACAAAGGTCTATGTCTTAATCAAAATATTTTTGTTTTAAAATTTGATTTTTTAATTTTGTTTTCTTTCAGACATGATGAACTAGAATTCGAACAAAAAAACCCCCCAAAATGGTGAATTTCTTCAGACAAGTTCTTCTCCTCTTGTGGAAGAACTTTGTAATTCAGAGGAGAAAAGTATGTGTGTCTGTGTTTGAAGTTATACTACCATTATTATTTGCGGTGATCGTGTTGGTTGTAAGAATATTAGTGACATCCGAACACATTTCCGAACCGAAAATCTACCCCAACAAGACTGTTCAGATCTACAAGTGGTATAAGTCAAGTAAAACTTTAATATACGCTCCAAATAATGCAAGAGTTGATAGCATTATGGATGAATTTGTATTTTTACTGAATTCTGAGGCTGCACCAGTTCCAAAGTACAATTGTAAGTATATTATAAATTTTTTCATATCACAACTGAACTGATAAAGATGGCATACATGTGTAGTGAATTGGATAGAGCAGATTACTGTGGTAGAGTAGGCCCGGCAATAGTTCTGTTGAGGGTTCACTACAATGTAGAGGTGGGGGATGAGCCAACCAAGCAGCGGGCTCAGAAAGACTGACTTCAGATAGATTAACCAACAAATCTTTATTACTCTTTCAATACAGCTATATATCACTTCTGTCCAGTGCTCGTTGAGTTCCTGGGTCATTCTCCTAACAGTGCTCTTAAGTTGGCTCACTAAATGGCACTCTAAATAGCTCTCTTCTCAGAACTCTAATCTTAATGCTCCTTATCGGGTTGTCTGTAAAGCTCCCTACAAGTCAGGGTCAAACTAATCAGAACGTGTAATCACCTGGAGGCATCTTCTCTGTATCTTGCCTCTTCTAATTACTAACTCAACTGACTACTACTGGGCAAGACAAGGTATTATATACCGAAGATCACATGACATAACCATGTGGTATAAGTCACACCTACCATTCCTGCCAATCGAAAGCACACGCCAGCCAATATAGAAACGTGCCAACGACAGCGTGTGTTGGGACAGATTTACAAAATACATTTAAACAATATAAACACAAATGAAAATATTCGAAATGTAATAAGAGTTTTTGAAAATGGACAATTAAAGTAAATAACTAGTTAATTACTAACATAACGGAAAACAATAAGAAAACTAGGTTGCCTAAACTGAAGACGTGGATCGGACCATGAACATGCACTTCAGATCACCACACATGTATGTCTTGCAGTGTGCTATGAAGGGTATTTTGCCCGGACAGTGGCATTCCTGCTACTTTTTCGTTGAATTCTAACTGCCAAGGCTTCCTATACACAGGTACACAGGACTGACTGAGCGACTGACAAGGGAAAACCAAGTTTAAAAACCCAGGTGGCATGCAGCATTAGAACTGAGAGTGAATCTTATTGATTTTCAGCATTCTAGGTCTTTCTGTTCCAAAGATCATATATATCATGTGTCCAGAAAAGCTATAGACAGCAATAGAGATCAGTTTTCTTAATGGATGCTTTGGATCCCTATCAAATTTAGTTAAAATCTAAGTTTTCCTTTTGGTCTAACCTGTTGTTCTGTAGGCGTAAATCTTGTTTTTCTGTAAGACAATAGCAGGAATATTGATTAAAGAAGCTTATTATCATGATAAACTTCACTAATTTTTAACAATGGTATAAAAACACAATACTTGTGATATTTGAATAGATAGCTCATTAGGCCAATGCAATCTGATGATTAGTTTTTCAGGATTCTTACATGTGTATTAGGAGCAAGAACAATTTGTCTGTCTGTTGTCCATCCGTTACAGTCTGACTTCTTGTTCGGAACTGCCTGGTTAATAGTTATTCAGATTTGTTCAAATGAATTTTCTGTCTTAAAGAGGCAAATAGACATTCTTCCGTACACTGCATCAGCTAAAACTTGGGTCAAAGAGAACAAATGGTTGGAACTTCAATTAAAATGTAATCAAATATAATGAGACAGATGAAAAACGTCTGATTAGTTGTCTAAATCACAGTTAGCAGTCTTTTGGGAATTCAGCAGCAGGCTACTGTATCCTCAGAACTTCTTTGTTTAAAATACGTTTTTCTGCTGAGTACAGCTTAACTTATGTTGGTTTTGCTATTGAAAAGCCACTCTATGACCAACCTGAATTCCAATCAATCAATCAATCAGACTGTTGCAACTACCTTCACCAGAGAATACTGTCAAATGAAAAAAAGATAACTAAGCATATTTATGGTCGAAACCTCCACTCGGCCGAAAATGTCCACTTCATCTAATTTTTCCAGAATCAGTGTATTTAGTGACAGTTTCGGTAGTGCCGGTTGGGTGTGCCAGAATAATTAAGCGGTGTTGATACTTGATAGTCATAGGAGAGAGTAAACTATGGGGCAACTATTAAACCCCCCAAAATTACTCTTGCAGAACATTTTTTACTGATCTTTTAGAGGAATTTAGTAATGGGATAGAGCAATAAACTATACCACATACTTATGGAAGAACAATTACTGATTTATGTTGAGAAAATGCTCGTAATTATTATTTTGATTTGGTAATAAAATGTTCCAGGTTCCAGGGTTCGCCCATCTCCCCCAAAAGTTATGACAAATCAACGCCCTTGGCTATGGAGCAGTGTTCGTCCCTTTATAATTGATAATTGATGGCCATTTGATCTACAGAATATATATATCGAACAGTTAAATTACTGTACTCCTTAATAGATCGGTTTTACTAGTGTTATCAGATTGGAGGGTTGGATGGCCGAATGGTTAGCATCGTGTGTGCTGTATCATAAGGCCTGTCATTGAGTCAACTGGCGTGGTTTCGAATCCCCAGTTGTACGTGACAAGGAGTAGGGTCACCTGTCCAACCTCGTGGGTTTTCTCTGGATTCCTCCCACTGCTAAAGACCCCAACGCGCACAGCGAATTATTTAAATAAAATTAAACCATATGTTAGTCCCGAAATGACCTAGTTTGTGTCGAGTGGACATTTATCCCCATCTCTCTCTCTCTCTCTCTCTCTCTCTCTCTCTCAGATTGTTTGTTTATTAGTATGTACAGTACATGTAGTCACAAACAATTTGATCCAGTAATGTACTCCTTAACATACCTGTTTTACTATAAGTATTATCATAAGTATTATCACATGTAGTCACAATCGATTTGATCCAACTACCTGGTAAAATTATTGTTCTATAGTGTTGTTGTCGATATTTATTTATAATGTGTAAATAATCCTTCAATATTTAATGTTAGCTTACAGACAGACTATACTTAAAAAAGAGGTTTTATATAAGAGCTAAATCTGCCTATCACATGTCTTTGTATTGGTTTCAAATGTTATATAAATTATTATTTATTCACATGACAAGCCCATAATGAAGTCTCTAGGTGTTTATTATTGTAGCAATGGTACTTGACAATTGAGACTAAATCATCAAAACTTCAAAGTCATAACTTTGCTCAGAATATACTTTATTCAATAAAGTGATTGACTGAAATTTTCAATATATTTTTTTTGTCATTATTTATTTTTGAGCTATTATAGCAAGAACGGCCAGCTATTTATCTAAATCTTTAATTGTATTATTTTGTGATTTGTAAAAATTCTTCAGCATGATCGACTAATCTTAGTTGCTGTTATAATTTGAATTCATAGAGGCAAATTAAAGACTATATTTTCTGGGCTATCAACTAAAATTCAAATTGGTGTGGCCTTAGTTTACATACCGGGTACAGAAAATGTCATGATATATTCAGAAGGTATTTGAAGTCTTATCTAATAGACAGATCATATGTGCATCAATATCAAATGTTTGTAGTAACTGTTGTCATGGTTTCAAGATATCTATTCTAAATGTCTTTCTACTCAGTTTATGTTATCTATTTATTTATGAATCACATAAAAAACATGAAGTTAATTGGGGGTTAGATGTCCTAGTTTCTGAACCTGTTTGGCTAAAGAATATGAGCATACATATACACACCACAATATGGTACAAGGGAAATTTTTCACAAACAACAGAGTTTCCGCCTAACTGCAAAAGGTTCTTTTAAAGTACATGTCAATGTGTACACAAGATGTACACTGGTTTTCATATTTTTTTTGGTCCCATTTGATTGACTAGACATTTGACCAGTACATGTCTTACCCACTGAACCACTGTGGGACCCGTTATAACAAGGAAATAAGGAAGTATCAAATATTTTATTGGATTTGCTCCAAATGTGGAGTGGAATTCCCCTCTCTTATCAGATAATGTTGTAATTTAAAGACTGGGTCTGTCTTGTACATGTATATGCACACACTGATCAGCAGTGAATATTTGCTAGGCTGTTACAATCACTGATAAGAATGACATCGATGTGACTTATGAGCCACAAATATTAACTTTTTTCCTCCGATAAATTAAATTCTAAAACATTTGTCATATGTATTGGAAAAATAAATCAAGACATTTAAAGTATTTGTAGGTAAAAATTTCCTATTTTAGTGTAAATGGGTATTAAAATGAGTTAGGCGCCATTCTGCTTGAATCAGTAAGGTCTTATGTAAACAATGCATGTATCACCTAATAGTGATACTAAATTTTACTTCTTTTTCAAATTTTATTTTAAGGATATACAGAATTTATTTCTTAAAGTATATAGACAATATAACTAATAGTAAGGTTATCATTTAGTCTTTCTTTACTTTAGTGTTAATATTTTGATTTAAAGTCTATAAAAAGTAATTGCCTAAAAGCATGATTGGCTTTGACTGTTTTATAATCTTTGGATGCCAGTAGGCTTATTAAGAGAAACCTTGAGCAAAGATTTATACAGTTAACAATGCAGTCTGATCAATGCCAATCAAGTGTCAATGCTTTTTAATTCTTTATGGCTTAAAGCTTATTAGATCCTATAAATTATATTTCACTATGAAACTTTCAACCAATGAAATTTATATATTTATTTAACTTCTTTTCATTTGATGTGTTACAATATTTTTATCTTTAATTTGATTTGTTGAAATCATTGTCCTTTTGTCTGTATACAAATTAGTTACTTTAAAAGACCTCTACACACAGACAAGAGGGCAGATGAAATTAGAGACACACAGACAAGGAGATCGAATGCCTTGTATATAATTTGTAAATAATGTATTTTTAAAACTGTATATAAAGTAATATTGAAATGAATTTGGAATTGGACTTTTAATGAACAGTGACCGCCTTCACCAGAATACTTCTCCAGTAATGAGCTATACACCCCCAATCCTAGCTCATCCATATGTATGAAATATTACATATGTACATATGTATCACCTGGGTGCATATTCGAACCAGAATAGCCCCCCTGAACGTTGGGTGATACATGCGCCATTGAGCCAATGATTGACGCCGCGTGATATGACGTCATGCGTTGAAGGCAGTCATC